GTCTTGCCAGCAGGCCCAACCTGACCTTCATAGTCCAGGAGGAACCCTCACATAATTACAGATGACACTTAGGGAGGAGGTCTCTCCTCTGCTATGAAGTGTTACTTCACCATTCAAGTGAGGAGGTTAAAACAGACCTTCGGTTCTTCTGTCAAAACATTTACTTGTGTTGCCGTGGATGATCTACTTTCTCAAACATGGCATGAAACACAGAAGGCCTTTAGGCAGTACTTAATTTGTCATGATTCATTTGTTTTTTTCTTAGCTTGGCTCTAAGGCTATGTTCACACTGCAGGACAAATGTGGCCCAAATCTGATTTTTTGCCCATATGAGACTCATCACATTTTTTCATGACAATGTGAACAGCACAAGTCACATGGAATCCGATGTTTTCAATTCCGATTTGGCCCACTTCAGTATGTGGTCATAAATCAGATACAGGTCTGATTTTCTGCAATGCGACCTCAGTCTGAACAGCGAAATCGGAATTCGCGCCACTTTTACGTCACTCTCGATCGACGTTCGTCACAATTCTGCGCAGGCAGAAGTCACCATATGTCTCCGTCAGAGTGCCAAACATGGAGGAGAGCACAGAAGTTGGCCAGTGCAGGGACAGTGAGGTGCTGGATTTAATAAGTATTTGGGGAGATAAATCTGTTCAGGCAAAACTGGAAGGTTCATATCGTAACCGGGCAATTTTCGAATCAATAGTGACGGCTTTGTTTTTGCACATGCGCATCATTGCACCTTTGTTGTTTTGTGCGCACGCGGGCCAGTTGAGTATAGTGAACCATTCACATTGAAATCTGATATTACCCACATTAAAAAGAGTAATGTGAACAGGCAAACAAAAAATCTGATCTGAGCAGGAAATCAGAATTGAGCATTAAGGCCTGCAGTGTGAATGTAGCCAAAGACTGAGATGCTATTAAAGAGCTTGATTATCAGTTTCAGGTGTGTTATATTAGGGCTTTACCTAAACTCTGGGATGAGGACCCCTGCTTTTAAAGGTATGGTACATATTTTAATTATATTTTAATTTTTGGAAACCATATAATATTGCACAACTATTTGTACATTTATTTTTCTTCAGCTTTACTATAAAACCTTTTATCCCACATGTCAATCACTCAGGATCTTGTCTTCATGTTAAATTTGCACTAAATAAATTTTTGTCCAAATGCAAAGTTCCTGTAAGAATTAAATTGTTTATCATGTAATGATTTTTCCCAAGTTTCAGTCACTGAAGTGTTTTTTATATATAAAATTTGCACTGAGTGATATTTTGTCCAAGTTGCAAATAAGTCTTTTTTGTTTTAATAATTTTTAAATTTATTCCGATACATAATTTTTAAACCATTTATATCTGGTCTCCTTCAATTAAAATGTTCAACTGAGTTTGAACTCCAGAACTATCCAGTTTTACAGCTCGCAGCCCAATGAGAGCACTGCACTTGTGCTTTTTCAGGTGCCGTCGTGAAATGAAAAAAATCATGCAGGCCCTTAGTTTATTTAACTTAATTTATGTGATATCGTGACATATGAACTACTTTGTCTTCTACATTAGAAGGATGGTATGAGTGATGTCATTGATGATACATAAACGTAGTATTTTCTGTTTATATGTTGTTTAGCAGTGATAACCTAAAGTAAAGATCATATCATAACAAATGTCAACAGTCTGCATATCAAAACAGTGTTGACGGTTCAACTTGGGGGATTAATATGTAGACCAACCTAGGCTATATTGTAGGTCAGTGCTAGGGAGTTGAGTGGGAGTTAAAACGTGTACCATCTGTGGGTACCCAAGGACCAGGTTCGGAGACATTGTTCTAGGGCTCTGGTAAACACAAGGGCCCCACATTTTTTTGAGAAACTTATTAAATCTTGATGCACCAGCACCCAGACCCCCCCCCATTTCTTATTCTCTCTTCTCTCGGTTCAAGAAAGTGGTCAGCTTGGGAGAAGGCCGTTTAGCCTGTACCCTTCAGATCATTTATTTTTCAGGCCCCTGGGTTCTTGAATCAGGTGTCCATTCTGATATCAGCCTATAGCCCTCCGATAAACTAATCTGCCCTTGCTTTTCCATACCTTAAAAAGGACATTGCTGCCTTGGAAAAGGTTCAACATAGGGCTACAAGAATGATTCCTGGGCTTAGAGAAATGTCTGATGAGGAGAGGGTAGCTGAGCTGAATCTGTTCAGCCTCGAGCAAAGGAGATTAAGGGGGGACATGATTCAGGTATATAAGGTTCTAACAGGTCTCAATTCTGTTCAGCCAAATGGCTACTTCAATGTTAGTTTAAATACCAGAACTTGTGGCCATAAGTAGAAATTAGCGGGAGAACATTTTGATCTGAATTTGAGAAAACACTTAATTGCACATTGTGTAGTTAGAGTATGGAATAGTCTTCCTGCTATAGTGTAGTGCAAGTTAAAACCCTGGGTTCCTTTAAATCAGAGCTAGATAAGATTTTAACAACTCTGAGCTATTAAAGTTCTCCCCAAACGAGCTCGATGGGCCGAGTGGCCTCCTCTCGTTTGTAAATTTCTTATGTTATTGACATTTTCCAGAATTGGTTAAAGCTTAAGAATATGTTCTTTTATGTACATATGTACACATGTATAACTGAAAAAAATAAGGGCTGTGAAAAATTCAGTTTTGGATTCGTTTTTTTACTTGTACTTATAAACATACTGTAAAATCAGGTCCCGGAAGCACGCCGCCTGTCGTCCAGAAACAACGCTAGGACAGTTCTACCAGAAAATGGATTTATTGCGCCCATATCAATCACACTCTCAACACATTCGCGCTGCCTACTGTGCCCATCGCCCCGCTTACTCCTAATATGTACGACGGGCAAACACGCTATATACAACAATAAACATTAAGCACTACACACGACATTACAATACAATGCAAGACATTACAGTGCATAGCGATCACAGCGAACTATTTACATGGTTGGCACCAGCCCACACCGCTGCGACATTACANACAATACAATGCAAGACATTACAGTGCATAGCGATCACAGCGAACTATTTACATGGTTGGCACCAGCCCACACCGCTGCGACATTACAATACATTGCAAGACATTACAGTGCATAGCGAACACAGCGAACTATTTACTGTGGTACCTCGGTTCTCGAACTCACAATAACTCGAATTTCTTGAAAGTCGAACAAACCAGTTTGACCTGAAACTCGATCTGAATATCAGAAGTCGAACCGTGAACACTGACCTAATATAAATTGTATGCGCCAGGAAATGAGTCACACGCCACGTCTCTGAGCGGAAACAAAAGGTAACGCTTCAGTGTCAGGTTGCCTGGTTCATCTCCGTCTCTAGGTCTCCTCCGCTCTCATTTGGGATCTGGGCAGATGTGACTAGCTGAGGCAGGGATCTGAAGCAGTCTGTATGGAGGGCAAAGCCACCAAGTCATCAGCACAGCCCACCCATAGCAGAAAAAGTGTGGTGTGCGGGAAGGGGGCAACAAGGGAGGACAGAAATATGTGTAACAGTCTGCCTAGGCAAATTGATCCTAGGTGAATGGCCAGACAAAGTGCGATTAAACAACCCTCATGGTGATGGAAAAACATGGAGCCAGAAACTCATCCAAACAGTGAAACCGGGGCCCCACCCTGGAGCCAGGCTTGGGGGGGAAGCTTGTCTGCAAGGGCCAGGTGGTTGGGTCTTCATCCATGGGGTCCAGGTGAGCGAAGCCCAAAAAAGCTATATGAACCCACCCTCCTGTAGGCCTACCACATGTGGGGGGGGGGGGCATTGTGGCAGGGGGTCTCAATAACAACATGGTTGTTCCCAGGTGCAGAAATAATATCTTTGACAATGTCTTTTTTGGGGGCCTCTGTTGTGAGCTTCTGCTATTTTAACTACAGATGTCAGAAAACCCAGAGATACTTTGGCACTTCTGTGGGTTGCAAAGGGAAGAAGCAGAAGATGATTTTCATTGATCTGGCCTGCATTCAGACATGGAATCGAAACGTGGCCCATGCTGTATGTTTGGCAGATGAGCATAATAAGTCAATCGCACTTCCAATGACAATGCTCTCTGCAGCTTATCGTGTGCGTGGGAAAAGCGTTCATCAGTACAAGTTCATGTTTACAGTGCTGCACATTGTTTCCGAGTGTGAAATTTTTACCAGTGCCCAAGGCAAATCCACCTACGCCGTACTGGGAGTATGGCAATTGTGAGGCCATCAGTAATCTTCTGAATGCCGAGATCAGGTTTAATGAGCTAGCGCAGGATCTCAATACCAGCTTAGTGCCTAGTCTAGAGACGTTGCTTCCATTCCGAGAAGAACAACTGAGACGGAATCTGGAAAGTTGCCAGTTTGACATAAACCAAGAGTTCAAGTTTTATAATCCAGAATAGCTGCTACACTGTAACTCCCCAATCTCTTAGTAAGTCGCTGATGGTTTTTAAATAATCATCTTGCTATATTTTCATTTGACAAATATATGATTATATGCTGCTTTTGGCAAAAGTGTCTGCTATATAAATGTAAACGTCCAAATGCAAAAGCGTACATCTCTTAAAACTCACGCCTAAACAATTTACAAAATAGATACCTGACTATATCTAAATTTGGATTTGTTATTTATAGACAGCCTTTTTACATTTAATAATTCTTGTGTTTATCATTGGTTTGACCCTTCTAACTTTAATAGCAACGAAAGATAAAGAAAATGACCTTTTATTCTTCAGTTTATTCAGCAATACACACGTGCTGATTTTTTTTAGTTTGTAAAAAAACTACAATTTTACTATGCTTATTGCCTACTTTTACTTATGTTATTCTTTGTTGGGTTTATTTCTACCTGGTATAGTTTGCTGTATTTATTCATCCCTTCTGTAATACAGGACAAAGAAATTCACTCATTTAATCATATAGTGATTTTATTGTTCATTACATTAAGTAGCATAGTCACTGTCATAAATTGCTCCACTGGAGATCCCCTAACCTCCCTCCAGACAGAACAGCCATGGTGTTGCAAAAACAAATAGAGCATATGTCTTGCCAGCAGGCCCAACCTGACCTTCATAGTCCAGGAGGAACCCTCACATAATTACAGATGACACTTAGGGAGGAGGTCTCTCCTCTGCTATGAAGTGTTACTTCACCATTCAAGTGAGGTGGTTAAAACAGACCTTCGGTTCTTCTGTCAAAACATTTACATTTACATGTGTTGCTGTGAATGATCCATTTTCTCAAACATGCCAACAAACACTTCATTTGGCTTATTCCTAGCTAGGTGTCGGGTACTTTAACTCGAGGGCTTTCCTGGGTTGAAGCTTAACAACCTCTGCAGAAAGGGGCCCTCAACCAACCTGGTTCATTATATTTTAAACCTAAAGTTGCCACCCATCATATACATTACAGGAAAATGACACAGTGTGCCCCTTTTCGAATTAAAATGGCATGCGTCTGCAAGCCCATCACCCACCAGCATTTTTAAAAATGTTATTGTTATTTTTTATTTTATTTATCCATTATTTTACCAGAAATGTCCCATTGAGATACATTATCTCTTCTTCCAGGGAGTCCTGGCCAAGGTGGCAGCAATACGTTACAAAAGTTCCAACATAAACAAACAACTTACACATAGAACATGTAATATTAACACCTAAAGACATACAAACATACCAATGAATACAATACAATAAACACAGACTATCAAACTAAAATACATGGAAATTCCAATTGTCAAAAAAGGCAGAGTGAGTTATGGGCAAGGAGAAGAGAAAATATATATATAAGTATATGGGCTACAAATTATGAAAAACAATGGCATTGTTGTATAAGAACTGATTTTAAAAGATTTTTGAAAACATTTAGAGAGGGTAGGGAGTCCAAATTTAGAATGTTTTGTAATGAATTCCACTCATGTGGTGCATATGAGCAAAAAGCGGATTTGCCTAGCTCTGTCCGAGTTATTGAAGAACAAAGGAGGAGTTTTACTGATGAACACGTACTGTAAGTATTAGTGTGAAGTGTCAGTAGATTACATATGTACTGAGGTAGTTTACCCATTAAAGCCATTGCAGTAAATACTAGGCAGTGAGATTTCCTTCTAAGCTGTAATGATGTCCATTGCACCATGTCATAAAGATCACAGTGATGTGTTCTTGCTGCAGCACCAGTTACAAATTTCAAAGCAGAATGATAAACAACGTCCAGCTTTTTCAGATGGGCTGTGGATGCATGCATGTATATTATATCACCATAATCTAATATTGATAGGAAAGCGCTCAGTACTTTCTGGCAGTAAAAGGAAAGCATTTTTTCAAACGATAATAAAAACCTAATTTAGGACGAAGCTTTTTCAACATACTTTCTATATGGACTCCAAATGACAGCTTGTCATCAAGCCAGATTCCAAGATATTTGTAAGAGTTTACCCTTTCTAGTTTAGTGCCATCTAGTGTTAAAAGAGTATACACAGAGGAAGAGCATGAGTGATTAAAAATCATAAATTTAGTTTTTTTTAGCATTTAACACCAGTTTCGATTTGAGAAGGGTCAATTGTAAGAATTTGAATGCACGCTGTAAGGAATCCATTGCTACTTGCAATGATGATGCAGTTGTATAAAGAATTGTATCATCAGCATATAGGTGAATTTTTGCTGGGTCTAACCCCATGCACATATTATTTATGTAAATAGAGAATAAAACAGGCCCTAAAATTGAACCTTGTGGCACACCAGTTTTTACTGTAAGTAATGTAGATCTAAAACCTTCTATCACTACACACTGAGTTCTCCCATTTAAGTAGTTGGAGAACCAGTCAAAAACAGTGCTACTAAAACCTATAGCCTGTAATCTTTGTTAAACAAGACCATGGTCAACAGTATCAAATGCTTTTGTTAAATCTATAAATAGTACAGCACATGATTTTTTGTTGTCCAAAGCAGTGATTATATCATTTGTGACAGAAGTTACTGCAGTTATTGTACTGTGGCCCTGTCTAAAACCAGACTGACTAGGGGATAATATTATTTTCAGACAAAAAGGTTTTAAGTTGTTCATTTATAATAGATTCAAATATTTTAGCTGTAACAGACAACCTGGAAATAGGACGATAATTGTCTAAATAGGAAGGATTGCCTCCTTTTAATAATGGGAGGACCAATGCTGACTTCCAGGAGCTAGGGATTACCCCACTGCATAAACTAAGATTAAAAATAGAGGCAATAGGACCAGCAATCAAATCTGCAGCTGGCTTTCAAAAGTAAGGTTCAATTTGGTCTGGCCCAGCAGACGTTTTGCAATCTAAATTTAACAAAGCATTGCAGACCTGAGCAGAAGAGATGGAGGAGAAATTAAAGGTCATAAGACTATTGGAGTTGGTGCCTAGACAATCCCCACAAGTTCCAGTGAGACTAGACTGAGTATTTATACCAGCATCAATGAAGTGCTTATTAAAGGCATCTACAGTACTATGTTTTGTTTACCCTTTATATCATTTTGATTGATAATTAGACAATCAGGAAGAGTAGGAGGCACCATGACTGCTACCGTTGATTTAATCAATTTCCAAAAATTTTTAGGATCACTTAAATGATTATCTATTGGGTGAAGGTAGTATTCGCTTTTTGTATTTTTTATAAGCGTAGTGCATTTGTTTCTCAGCGCTCGGTAATCTGCCCAGAGTTTGGCCTCATTACTGACTTTACCTTTGACCCAAGCAGCGTCTCTTTCCCTAACAGCAGCTGCAATAGTATTATTGAACCATGGGTTATCTTTACCACTGACTCTAAACTTTCTCATAGGTGCATGCTTATTAATTATGGACAGAAGTGTTTTTTAAAAAGTTCCATGCACATTCTACATCCACAATTTCATTAACAAGGTTTAAATCACTATGAAATACATCATGCAGGAAAGCCTGCCCATCGAAGCGTTTGTAATTCCTTTTAAAAATAAAACATGACTTGGTTTTGCGGAGTTTACAACTTCTTACACATGCTATTGTACAGTGATCACTGACATCATTACAGAATATTCCAACAGCAGAATATTTATGTGGTGCATTTGTTAGAATGATGTCCAACAAAGTGGACTTGTCCATGCATTTCGGGTTTAAACGTGTCGGAGACTGTATCAGCTGCGTTAAGTGCGCAGCGTCGCAGATGTCCTTAAGTGCATTCGAAGAAGTTGACAGCCAGTCCCAATTTATATCCCCTAAAAGAATAAGCTCTCTGTCGGATAAGTTTTGTAGAAGGTCCAAGAGAAAAGTAGTGGCCTCGGGTAAGGCTGACGGTGGGCGATAGCAGCCTACTACTGCCAGGTCAGCGCCGCTGGGGAGATTTAATTTAATAGCTGCTAATTCGAGGGATTTAGGTTTGCTAATCGATTTAATGAGGGAACAGTTCAAAGTGCTCTTAACGTAGATCGCAACCCCCCCTCCTTTGCTTGCGCGATCTGATCTAAAAACATTATATCCCCCGATGTGTATCATAGCGTTCGAAATTGTCGGTTTCAGCCAAGTTTCAGACAGAACCATGACGTTGCATTCAGTCAACTTTGCCCACAGACGAATAGCATCCTTTTTACTAATCAAGCTGCGCACATTGGCATGAATAAAACGTAATCCACAACTATCTTTAAGATCGCCTGAATTTTGAAGTTGTCAGCTCAGGGCCTGGGTTGGGATGAATGTTACCTGACAGGAGTAACAGGAGAATCATCCAGTCAGTCTTTATTTGATAGCGGTGGTAAAGGTGGTGGCCTGATGGGGTCCTCCGTCTGTGTTTACAAACAGTAGAGCCGAATTCAGGCAAGCACATCTCTTGTAATCCGTACAGATGCGGGCTCTCGGTTGTCCAACAGAGAAGCCCAGAATTCTAGCAAGATGATGCAAAAAGTTCATTATCCGAATATGGCATAGTAGCCGTCCTTGGCAGAGTAAACCGCAGAAAAGCACTCAGTCCATCGTCAGACGTTGTCATCCCTGACCCCCCCCNCTAGCTAGGTGTCGGGTACTTTAACTCGAGGGCTTTCCTGGGTTGAAGCTTAACAACCTCTGCAGAAAGGGGCCCTCAACCAACCTGGTTCATTAAATTTTAAACCTAGAGTTGCCACCCATCATATACTTTACAGGATCGTCCCATACTGAAAAATGGCCTTTTCGAATTAAAATGGCCACCAGCATTTTTAAAAATGTTATTGTTGTCATCCCTGAACCCCCCCCCCCCAGTTGACAACTACACCATCATGGAAAACAGCAAAACAGTAAAGGCCTCTGACCACTGAAATAGTCCAAGAGCTTTTAACCACCTTACTGTGACTCCAGCGAGGTGTGTGGTGCAGTAAATGGGTCATAAAGGCTACTGGTGAAACTGTGTAAATAGAACACCAGTCCATACTGAATATTCACCTTCATTCACTGTGAGGTTTTTAGCACTTGATTAACGAAAGATGGGCCCAACTATCATGAAAACCACTGGTAGTCAAAGTCTTAAAGGTAGGGTGTGTGTGTCTGTGCGTGAGTTGGTGCCACAGAATGCGGTGAGCATGTTTGTTTGAGGGGCAGAGAGGAACAAACACGCTTTGAAGTGCCGCCGCATGACTCATTAGCGTGACCTTCGGATGCAGATTGTTTGCAGGACCAGTTGGTCTCTGTGGGGATGATTCACTGGGATCTGCGTTCCACACACCACACAAACTGAAGCATGCTATGCTTTCGGCCGTCATTAGCTGGCTTGGCTTTGGTGCCTAGTCACAGCTGAACGGAAGTAGGAGCAAATTAAAATGTCTTGCTAAAAGCATCCATTTATACAGGCCAGAATGGGTGCTTTTCCATCTAGCACTGCGCTTATATCGTGTTTAATAACTTCATTGGGCTGAAAGAATGCAGTTACAAGAACACCATCCATTAACTTAGTTTAATCATTACTTTTCATTTGCATATCAAATGAAAAGCCAAGAGATTATTAAGTGTTCTGTCACTATCTCTGACAAATGATTCAGCACCTAGTTGTACTCAGTTCTGAAAATGTGAGATCCATGCAAAAATGTATGTGTAGTGTAGTTTTAAAGGTGAATTGCCTTGTCAAAATATGCGTTGAAGATGTATGTTTTCCTCATATAATTTGATTTACCGGTAAACTATTTTAATTAACACAGTGTTATTGTATTATATTCCTGAATTGGGCAACTATATCATGACTTAAATGGCAGGTGTCACATATTCATCTATATAAATCATTTACATTTATAGAAATAAGCATGGCTGTTCCTAGATTTTTTGAGGGGGAGGTGTTCATGTGTTCTCAGTACCTTTAAAGCTCACGCACAAATATGGTAAAACGGTCAGGTGTTCAGGCACCACAAGTCCGCCTCCCCACCACGTTCATGCATATTCATGAGAAGATAGTAAATGTTGGTAGAAATAAGTTTCAATCACATAGAGTATATACATTCATATAGGGTAAATATAAAATAAAATAAAAGCAATAAATTTAAAACAGCGTGTGCGGTACATGTCTAATGACACGTTTCTCTAGCTGCTTAGTACTACATACACGCTCCAGATTATATCTTACGATGCCGTCCGATTTCTACCGAAAGTTGTTTACTCACGCTGCGCATGCGTGTTGCAGATCAGGCAGTGAAATCGCTTTTGTACTACAGGAAACGAAACTTAGCACAGATCCAACTCTGGCATTAGAAGATCTCACACGGTGGCATGTGAAAGTTTGCTGAAGAAATAAGAC